GGGAAATCGGTATCCCCTGCAGGATACCACCTGCACACTGGCCTGGGGGCCAAGAGGAGGCCCTAGACCACCTGGAGCTGGAGGGAGTCCGGAGGCTGGAGAGGTAACTGCAGCGGCCAGACCTCAGCCCGAGGCGGGGAGCATGGGAGCACAGGGCCCCCCCAGCAGCCACAGACAGGCCTGGGGGAAGAAGGTCCAGCCCAGGTCAAGATTACCTCTGGGGCGTCACTCCTCACCTACAGCTGAGGACAGGGAGTCCACGCCCTGCCTTCTCACAGCCCAGTCCCTGCGCCAGAACAAGCACCCACCTGTCACGCTCCCAGACCCAGCCCTGACCAGGTCGCCCTCTCTCAGCCAAGGCAGACAGGTGTACAAGCAGGTGAGCACCCACATGGTGACAGGACCCGCTGGGGGCCAGAAGGAGAGGAGGGGACAATAGGGAGGGGGGCGGCTGGAGGACGGGCCAGTGGAAGAAGAGGAGGGGGCAGCGGGGGAGGGGCCAGCGGGAGAGGAGGGGCTAGCAAGAGGAGGTGGGGTCCAGCTAGGACAGGGGCCAGATGGGGAGGAGGACCCAGCAGGCGGAGGGGCCTGCGGGCGTGGAGACCCACTCCCCCAGTGAAACAGGCCTCCAACTGCGAGGACGTGGCCTGTCCTGCAGTGGGCACCGGGCGCGCAGAGGGGCGGGGCGCAGCCGAGCACACACAGGGGCCCTGGGTTTAGCTACGAACAGGCGAGTGAAGCCGGGCCGCGCACTGCGCTTCTGCACGCCGCGGTTGCGTCGCTTCACCTCTGAGCAACGCACGGCTCTGCACAAGAGCTCAGACAGAACTGGAGCTGCACTGGGAATTTCAGCTGACTCCTGTTTGTCCGCGATAATCGTGATGTTATCCAGCATATGATTAAGAACTCGTTGGAAACTAAAATACATTAAATTTTCATTGATAGACCACCGAAATGAAAACACATGTTCTGCACACTACAATGGATTCCTGCTAATTCAAAAATATAAAATAAGAATGCAGAGTCCTGACTCAGGCTGGTCGAAACCAGGCATTAGGGGGCTGTGCAGAGCAAGGTAGCGTGAGGAGGAAGCTCTGACCTGGAGGAGCTCTGGCCTCCCTGCTGCACGAGGCCACCCTCCTTCAACCCCAGCACATGAGCGGGGCAGGGCCAGCAGCTGAGCCCCACCCAGCTCAGCCTTCTCCTGAGATTGCCCTCATCCTCCACAAGCACTCCAGGGCGACGACCTGCCCATGAACACTCCTGCCTTTACTTCCCCACCAACTCCTCCTTCTCCCCACCTCCCTCCACCCCCGTGTCCCCGAGCATGTCAACATCAGACATCAGAGAGCTTATCTCCTCCTCCCCAAGCTGCTCTCTCTGAGGCTCTAAGTAGGTGAGTAGCATCATCAGGGGGCCCAGCCCAGACATCTGGCATCTCCCCTTTTCCCCTCTTCCCCAACCCCATGTCCTATGTTCCCCCATGATGCTGCACTCATCCCCACCCCACCTCCACACTCTCCAGCCCCCACTGGCCAGCCTCCCCCACTACTGACTCTGAGCAGGCTGTGGATGCTATTGAACAGGATGCTTTCAGTTCTGACGGTTGCTCAGCTAAATAACATCGAATTGTATTACATTTAGGTACAATCAGTGGCCAGAAAGCAAAGGCCTGGGAGAGGGAAGAAACTCAGTTCTGACCAATGTTTAGCACATATTTATGGGGATCCCTCAGTGCTGGGCCAGGTGGGAACAAGGCTGTTTCCCATGAAGACCTCCCTGCTTGGAGGATACCAAGCACATCTTCTGTGGGAGGAGCTGAGCACTAGCTACTGATTCCCAGCTGTGTGCACAGTCATGCACTTCCCGAGTTCTCTCCTCCACCTCCCCGAGTCCTGGCTAGCCTGGGTTCTACAGAGAAACCGGATGCCCCGAAACACACAAACTGCATCCCCAGAACCTGGTGCAGTAAAAATGGCACAAGAATGCTGCAGGAGACCCCAAGAGACTCCCTGCAGAGGGGCAGAGGCTCTGCAAAGAGAACACAGGGACTTGCTCCATGGCTTGGAGCAGAGACTAGAACTCAGGCCTCAGTCCAAAGCGCAGACTTTCTCCAGGTCTCCTCGGGGCTGTCCTTGACAAGAGGCATTTAGGTCTCAGAGAAGGGGCGGGATCCGAGGGGAGGAGCTCCAGGAAGTTAACCTGACTCTGGAGCCTTCTTGCCCCTGGTGTTTTCATCAGGCTCAGCACCAGGAGTCCACCCTGGGGACCTCAAACCTTTAGGCAGCATTCCACTATGTGTGTAGCGAGGGCAAGTGTCGCGCATAGATTCCCTCGTTCATTCAGTCCATCTTTCAGCCTCTTTGGGTCATCCACCCCATGTCCAGCATGGCTGCTGCCTGTCCAGTACTGAGCAGTGACTGCACTGCAGAGTAACCAGGGTCTGAATGGGAGGTAGACGGCAGAAACACTAACGCTTTGTAAACGTGCACGCATCTTCTCCACTTACCTCAACTACCAAGTTGCAGAGTTCATTAAGGACAGATTTCACAAGCTCTTGGAATTTTCTAATGGGAAGACAGAATCCTCCCCTGCCCCCACCACTATATGTTTCTGTGCATTGATCCTCATCTATTAGTCGATATCACTACCACCTGTACCAACACATGGACTTGAATACCAGCATTCTTTTTTCTTTTTTTTTTCCTTTTTGTCTTTTTTCGTGACCGGTAACGGGATCGCAACCCTCGGTGTCGCGCCCGCACCGCGCTCAACCAGTGAGTGGACCGGTCTCTACATGGGATCCAAACCCTCGGCGGGAGCGCCACCACGCTCCCAAGCGCCGCACTACTGAGTGCGCCACCGGGCCGGCTCGAACACCAGCATTCTTAAGTGGCCAAAATGATATACAAGTGACAGAAAATTTCCAATATGTGCTTTTCCAGTATGAACATTATGCCTTCACTACAGCCCTGCAGGGGGCTTTTATGCCCTTTATATAAGTGAAGAAACTGAGGATAAGTGAGAGAGGGGTTTGCATTGCCCAGGGAGTCACAACTAGTAGCAGGGAAACCCAGATGTCTACTCCCTAAGAATACCTGATCCCAGGATGGGCTTCCTTACCCCACTAGAGTAACAGGGTCCAGGGGTTCACCACCTCCCCAACGGGAGGGCAGAGCTCTCTGAGTCCAGAGGCACCTTTACAAACTCGCCCCTCTGTCTCTTTTTTATTCTTTGTTTTTCTAAATGGAATGACTGGATGATATATAGGAAAATGCTTTATTCAGAAATGAAAAGATGATTAACAAGCCGTTCCTTGCACCAGGTGACTCCCTGGTGTACATAAGGAGAACACAGTGTGGCCGGGATCCCTGGGCCTGCCAGGAGACTGAGCTCAGGCCTCCCTCCTGCTCTCTAGCTGTCCTGGCATCTGGTCAGAATGGGGAAGTGGCCTTGCCACCAGGTCTGGCTGTGGGGGCCAGCATGAGGCCCCAGCTAAACACACACACTCGGGGGGTGGGGGAGGTACAGGAGTGCCCCCAGAGGATGGTCAGGCAAGGCCACATGCTGCCCATGGGAGGCAATGGAGAAAGCCTGCTGGAAAACCCTGGCCTCCCTCCCCTCCCCAGGCCAAACGGTCCTCTGGCTCTAGCCCCCTTTCTGTGTCTTAATCCCTGCCTCTCCTCTGTCTCTGGCCTCCACCCCTCCTTCTCTTTCTCTCTCCTCTCTTTTCCCCACCTACAAACCCCTCTTTGCAAGTTTGGCTCCTCCATGTCCTCCCTCCTTCTCCCCCCCCCCCCCCCCCCCCCCCCCCCCCCCCCCCCGCATCCTTGCTCCTGGGTTTGAGAATATGCTGGTCTCTCTCTGGCCCTAAAACACAAGTCTAGTCATGTGTCTGTCCCTGTGCCTGGATGTGATGCTCCTGGCATCACAGTCTAGGGAAACCTCCCTAGGTCCTCAGGTGAGGCTGGTTGGTTCCCCAGGCTAGGTGGTCTGACTCCCCATCATCCCCCACCCCTTTATTCCTCCCTAATCTCTGACTTCCCCTCTGACCCCTTGTCTCTCCCCGTTTGCTCTCACCGCTGCCTCCTATCCTTAGATGGGCTCCCCCAGCCCATCCCATTTACACCACCCTCCTGCTAAACTGCATCGAGAGGCAGAATCAAAACCATCCCTACGGGCCTTTCAAGCTCCCGGTTGGACTGGCTGGAGGGGAGCTCCCAAAGCCCCTGGAGACAAAGACGCCTGGTCCACTTCCACCTCCAAGGCTCAGGAGGAGCCCGTGGGAGGAGCACCACATTTTCATCCTTTCAACCATCTCCCACCCCATGATGAGGACAGTGACAAAGTTCTGGTACTGCAGAGCCAGGGTCGGGGCGACCGTGAAGCAGGAGCAGCAGGGACTAGATGCAAGTGACCTTGGCAAACCCTGCTCCTTCTGGGCTGGAGGAGGAGGCGGGTCCACAAGGGGGGAGGGGGAACGGGGGCGTGGGGGAGAGACTGATGGGGCCAAGGTCCTTTCTCACTCCCACATACTCCCCTTGGATCTGCAGGGCAAACCCCGCACGTGTTCCCGGCAGCTGAAAAGGAGCCTCGGGCTGTGCGCAGGGACAGCCAAGGCGCCCGGCCTGCAGCCGGCTCTCCACGACCGCTATTAGTCCCTCTGCAGGGATGGGTGCAAGGAACGAGCGGCGGACCCCTGCTCCGGCCCCTCCAGCTGCCTGACCTTGAGCCAATCCTTTCCCTCTCCAAACCTATTTCCCGTCTCCACACTCCACGCCCATGGGCGGTTTGTGGACTGTCAGTCGGAAGAGAGCCCGGGCCGAGGGTGCCAGCCCCGACTGCATCCCAACTCTCTGAGTGACCTTGAACACCTCCCCATTTCGGACTTCAGTTTCCCCACCCGCCCGATAGGAAGACGCGCGCCGGCTCCGCTCGCTCCCAGTCCCGCCCGGGCAGGTGTGTCCAAGACTAGATGGGGGACGCGCGGCGGGACTTACCGTCCTCCAGAGACGTGGGCGCTTGGCGGGGACCAAGGTGGCTGTGACCAGCAAGTGAGAGGCAGCCACCACGAGCCCAAAGCCGATGGCCAGCAGGCTGCGCACGGGCAGCAGGGCGTAGGACACGAAGGTGACCAAAAGGAGCTGCCAAACCCCCTGTTCGGCGGCAGCCGGG